TGAGTCCTCTCACTTTGTGAGGGTCTTGCTCGGGCGGAGCTCCAATCACCCTTCGCTGGCCTGCTGGGAGTACATTTTCCTACGGCCTCCGCGTTGTGTCCCACTAGCGAAGTCCTAAGGGACGTAGCACCATGACGTAGAATTAATAGTTACTTAATGTAACTTAAGTTCTACGAATAGGTGCGTAGTCCCTTAGCTACGAGCCCATCAGGCCAGCCCGGCTTGGCAGAGTTCAAGAGGGGGTGCGGCCTTGTGCAGGGGCATTTATAGAGGAAGGTGGCTGGTGATTGGAGCAAATTATTTTGATCTCTCTGGCGTGTGACCTGGGGGTCACGAGTAATATCCCACTAGCGAAGTCCTAAGGGACTACGCACCTATTCGTAGACCTTAAGTTACATTAAGTAACTATTAATTCACAACTTTTCTGAACTAGTTCAAGTTCAGTTCATACAAGCTCAAAGTGAACAGTTCACGTTCAAAGTTCACAATTTTAATTCTGAACTAGTTCAAAGTTCAGTTCATTTTACTTTTTGCGAGAGATATCCAAATAAATACTTTTTTTCACTACGAGCTAGAAATCCCTATACGTGATTATATATATATATATTATATATATATATATATATATATTATATATATATATATATATATATATATATATATATGTATATATATATATATATATATATATATAATGTATAGATAGATATATCCTGTACACTGCACAGGATGTTTTGACTCCAATGCAGACAAGATTTGCATGGGTTTCAATGGGAACTGAGTTGTCCCATCTCTGCTCATAAGTTCTACAAACTGTAATGCGCTGCAGAACGTGTGTCTATACTTTATGTCAAATGTAAACGGCCCTGTGTCACTGACTTACCCCTGTGTTTTCATCACGGCACATGTGAGTCCAACAACCAATTAAGAGCACTAGCATACAGCGCTAACCTGGCAAGAGCCAGATTGATGATTGTGTAGAACTCTAACGCGTTCTCCACGATATCAATCTGGGATTTCTCCCGGAGAATCCTTTCGGGGAAAGGAGGGATAAGCAGCAGAATACTTCAAGCTGATTGGGCGAAGTGACGCTGTGTGCCCGCCTACCAAGGTTGCCGTCCAGAAATGCACAAAGCGCCTCTCGCTGTTCATCTTTCAAAAAAGAAATTGGAGATTCTGCTAAAACTGACTTGATAGCCTCAGCTACGCGTCCGTCCTCCTGCGTAGCCATGTTTGTTTTGCTTCGGCCCGGCACTTCTTGCTTTCGTCAAACCCGGATATCCCGCCCTAAACCCCCAGACTGGCGCGTGATTGGCTCGCACACCCAGTGGTTCGACTCGAAAAGTGTAAGCGGGAGCGGTACAAGATGTATTCTCGAGTGTTTGTGAACTCACAAATACCGCGAGAATTCAGCTTGCAGGCAAGGTTAATACAGCGCCGCACCGCAAGTAGTACACCGAGTCGGGGTGCGTTCACAGATGGTGAAAACTGTAGGAATTTTTAGCTTTCGGCGGAAACAGTGCGGAGAATACAGGAGAGAGGAACTTTCTCTCGTTGCGTTTCAAAAGAGAAAACAGATGTCACTCAGTTTTCAATTGAAAAGAAATTGTCTGCCGTTCATGACACATAATATGAACTAATTCACATTCAAGTTCTTTATTAAAAAATGTGTTGCGTTCAGTTCAACGTTCACAAAAAAATGAGCGTGTTCAATGAACGCGTTCTTTTGAACTCGTTCACGCACAACACTGTAAATGGATAGCCACAGCATGCAGACCAGTTTATATAGTGGAAGACGAAGGTCTCCGTGATATTATCCGGGTTGCCTCCGGCGACCTCACGTACGAGCTGCCATCCAGGGCCACAGTCATGTCCAGGATACACGAGTGGTATGACACGGAGAAGGCAAAACTAGCTACAAATTTTAACAACACGGGTCGCGCTTACTGGTGACTATTGGACATCGCTAGGTAATCATAGCTATCTTGGAGTAACAGCTCATTACATCGATCAGGAGTGGAAGCTGCATACACATGCGTTGACTGTAATGAGAACTGATGAGAGGCATATGGCTGATGCGTGCGCCAGTCATTTTATGGATGTGGCGGGTCAGTGGAACATTGAAGAGAAAGTGAGCACGCTGAACACAGACAGTGCTAGAAATATGATTGCCGCTTCGAAACAGCTACCATTCGAACATCTGCCGTGCACTGCTCATAGCATTCAACGATCAGTCACAGTGTCTCTACAAAATAGTGCATTTGACGGTGTACTTGCTAAATGTCGCAAAGTGGTTGGCCACTTCAAACATAGCCCACCTAATACTGCTGAACTTAAGACAAAGCAAGTTGCGCATGGACTTAAGACACTCGTTCAGGACGTTCCTACAAGGTGAAATTCCACTCTGGAGATAATTAAACGAGTGCAAAGAAACCAGGAAGCACTGAGAGATGTTCTTGCCCAGAAACAAACCAACGTTACCATGCCAACGAAGTCTGAGATGGAGAAACTTCAGAAACTGGAGATATTGCTCGAACCATGCAGGTACTATTCTCTGATCAAATTCCATTTTAGGCCTACATATGCAATAATTCCCCCATTTACATAAACCTACATTACATTTTTATTTGTTCACATTTTGCAGATACTTTACAGAACTTCTTGGAGGTGAGAAGTTTGTATCCTGTTCAGTCGTGTTGCCTGCATTATGCCATCTGTCCCGGGTGATGGAGATTTCTGAAGATGATCCAGCATACATTGTAAAGTTCAAGCAAACCTTCAGTGCGGACATGACAAGCCGCAAAGACAAAACCAACCTTACATGGCTGAAGATTTCAACTGCCCTTGACCCGAGGTTTAAGGACCTCAAATGTCTACACAGATCTGAAAGAGCAGAGGTGTGGGCATTGATTGCTGGTCTTTTGAAGGAGGATATACATGGACAGCAACAAGTGGAAGAAACCTCATCTGAGCCACCAAACAAGAAGGCAGCTCTCTTATTTGCTTCTGACTCTGAGTCAGACGAGGAGCAGGATGACATTAAAAACTGCCTAACACGCTATAGGGCTGAGCCAGTCCTCTGCAAGGATGAGTGTCCCTTAGAATGGTGGTGCAAACATGCTTGTATCTACAACAAGTTAGCATGTCTCGCCAAGAAATACTTGGCAACACCTGCCACATCTGTACCTTGTGAGAGATTATTTTCCCTCTCAGGTCATGTTGTTCAGAAAAAGCGAGCTGCCTTGTCATCTAGAAATGTGAACAAACTTGTGTGTCTTAGCAGCTGGCTTAGGTCTACTCAATAGAATGTTTGAGATACCAATATCTATCTGTATCATTCAAAATAAGGTGAGACTTAGTCTCTCCGAGTTCACCGAGTTCTCACTGTGAATTTCAAAGGTCTATGTCTGTTTTGACAACAGAATGTCAACATCCATATCAGTAATTATTTTGTTTTTTGTTCCACTCTACATTCTATAATTGTGACTTCTTGATTACAGTAAGTGACAGCCAGTCAATTAAACCCCATTGAGATTAATTGGTCCAGTTTTTACCTATTAATACAAGTACATTTGGATTTGAATGACAATGTGTCATACATTTGATCATCTTTAACTTCAATTGGAGTGGATTTGAAATAGAATGTTAAAAATGCGATTAATCGTGAGTTAACTCACCATTTCTGTGCGATTAATCAACTAAAAAAAATGTAATCGTTTGACAGCCCTAATATATATACACACACATAAATATATATATATATATATACACATTACATTACATTACAGTGGGGAAAAAAAGTATTTAGTCAGCCACCGATTGTGCAAGTTCTCCCACTTCAAATAATGACAGAGGTCTGTAATTTTCATCATAGGTACACTTCAACTGTGAGAGAGAATGTGAAAAAAAGAAAATCCAGGAATTCACATTGTAGGATTTTAAAAGAATTTATTTGTAAATTATGGTGGAAAATAAGTATTTGGTCACTTCAAACAAGGAAGATCAAGGAAGATCTCTGGCTCTCACAGACCTGTAACTTCTTCTTTAAGAAGCTCTTCTGTCCTCCACTTGTTACCTGTATTAATGGCACCTGTTTGAACTCCTTATCTGTATAAAAGACACCTGTCCACAGCCTCAAACAGTCAGACTCCAAACTCCACTATGGTCAAGACCAAAGAGCTGTCGAAGGACACCAGGAAGATATTTGTAGACCTGCACCAGACTGGGAAGTGTGAATCTACAATAGGCAAGCAGCTTGGTGTGAACAAATCAACTGTGGGAGCAATTATCAGAAAATGGAAGACATACAAGACCACTGATAATCTCCCTCGATCTGGGGCTCCACGCAAGATCTCATCCCGTGGGATCAAAATTATCATGAGAACGGTGATCAAAAAGAGCCAGAACCACACGGGGGGACCTGGTGAATGACCTGCAGAGAGCTGGGACCAAAGTAACAAAGGTTACCATCAGTAACACACTACGACGACAGGGAATCAAATCCTGCAGTGCCAGACGTGTGCCCCTGCTGAAGCCAGTGCATGTCCAGGCCCGTCTGAAGTTTGCCAGAGAGCACATGGATGATACAGCAGAGGATTGGGAGAATGTCATGTGGTCAGATAAAACCAAAGTAGAACTGTTTGGTATAAACTCAACTCGTCGTGTTTGGAGGAAGAAGAATACTGAGTTGCATCCCAAGAACACCATACCTTCTGTAAAGCATGGGGGTGGAAACGTCATGCTCTGGGGCTGTTTTTCTTCTAAGGGGACAGGAAGACTGATCAGTGGTAAGGAAAGAATGAATGGGGCCATGTATCGAGAGATTTTGAGCCAAATAGAAAACCTGCAGCAACAGCAGCCCTTTCTGGACCGGTTTGGACACCCCTGTACTAGGAGGTACTATTTTTAATGGAAAAGCACCCACACTCGGTTGTGCCGTACCGTACTGTTACTGTGGAAAAGCGGCATTAGCGACCTGCGGCTACTCTAGACTGCACAGGCTAGGGTGGCTTGACGGCGCTTATTCCCAGTGCGTATGCGGCCGCCGCTGGACCATGGAAAGGGAGTTTGCGCAGGCGGGGTATGAGCCCCGCCGCTGCGTGTAGGTCGCTTTGCGGTGCGTCTTCTTGATGCTTACACGTCCTCACTCGGTACCACAAATGGTAGCCCTCTAGCTGCCACTACAGATCCCAAACTTTTCAGTGACAGTCCATTTAAGGGCTAACAGCTCAAGTTCAAAGGAACTGTAATAAGTTCATGGACATTGGTCTCTTCCTATGGAACGAATGAAGCCAGAGACAGAGCCACGTCAGCAGCTTTAGAGCGCGCCACCACCCCCACTTGTGCACTGCCCACCTGCAACAGAGGACATACTACGATTAGATTGAATGGAATTTGAAGAATTAAAGGTAAGCTGCAGGTTTGAGCAAATACTCTCAACAAATCAAATCCACTCCTAAGTTAGTACCTTCTGTGATTGGTTCTTTCCCAGTGTGGCGGACCCTCTAGGTCAGTGGTTCTCAAACTTTTCACACCAAGTACCCCCTCAGAAAATACTTGCCTCTCCAAGTACCACCACAAATGACCACACCACACAGTAGCGTACTAAGCCGAAGTATTCATCAATAACAAGGCGGAGGTTTCATTACTAAAGAAGTATATTTAATGTAATATTTTACACAGTTTCAACAGTATGACTGCGCTTAAATATAGGATTTTTGTTTTTTTTTAATGTTTCATTCATTGCGAACTGCAAAGACTCACTGTGAGTGATATTCTGGAGTGGGATCTTTGTCTACAGAAGGTTTGGACTCTGGTGCACTTTAGTTTCTAAGGCTGGCTCTGCTGCCCTCTTATATCTGTCGTTTACTCACAGAGACATGTTCATATGGTTTGGATCAAATGATCCTTTGTTGCTCTCTGTTCCTTTTGCACAGAACTGGGAAAAAAAACGTTTGTTTTTGCTGCTCCTTCTACATGGAACGTGTTGCAAAAAGACTGGAAATGATCTGATCTTATTTCCTTGAATGCTTTTAGATCCAGATTGAGATCTTCAGTGAAATGTTTTATCATCTGTATGTGACTGCTTTATAATCTGCAATTGTATGTAATTTTTGTACACAAAAAAGAGGTTCTCATTGACTGCCAGCCATTTTTTGATGACTTCACTGATTTTTAAGATTCACAGAATATTGTGTGCTATGAAAAATATGAAACCAGAGTCTGAAAGACAGGACTGTCTACTTTCAGTAGCAAAAAGAAGTGTGACAAAAAGCACCAGTCTTAGACAAAAAAATTAGAAAATGAGGTTTTTGTGAAAACAGACGAACCTGCAGAAAAGTGATTGTAAAACTATTTAGTTTCCTCAAACATGTCCAGGATCTTACATGTTAGAAAACAGCAACACGTTTTGAGAAAGTGTTTTTAATGTAAAATAATAAGTTTTATGGCACACACACACACACACGACTTGGCAGGGTTCAGATGCAACCAGCTGAAAAAGCGTCATCCTAGGAGCCGTCTGCACCAGGAGAAGAGAGCATATATATTTATATATATAAAAAAGCTCAGTTGGTCGGGCGCAGGACTGGGACCTGGGAGGCCAGGCTTCGAATCTCACCGGGAGCACATTAACACCAACATCCAGTGTGGGTCCTTTGGCAAGACCCTTAATGCTACTGCCTAACTCATAACCATGAAGGCACAAATAAGCAATGAGATGCCGGATCAGACGTCGCCCGGCCAAACAAGGTCTGCGTCAGGTGCTGGGGAACCAGAGCACCTTGATGAAAAGTGGGCTACTGGAACAAGGCGAAAGTGGACGAGGTGCGATAACAGGGCTCTGTTGGAATATATATATATATATATATATATATATGTGTGTATACGACAAATTGTTTTAGTTTTTCAATCCTCTACGGAAGAAGGAGGTGAATATATTGTTCTGGTAAATAGAACGCCTTTCTCAAGAAAAACAGACAGAGGGACCAGGAGAGCCAGGACTTTGCCCTGACTAAAAGATACACAGCTGCAGCAGACCTGAGGCTAAAAGCCGATGGGAATGACAGTTTGTCAAAAAGCTAACCTACGAACCTAAGCTAAAGCAGAAGACACGTAGCTGCGTCCTGCCCATGGATCTATTATTATAACGGTCCTGACTCCTGCCTCCCCACCGGTAAGAAAACAGAACATTAAAACTCAAAAGCAATACTTGTATTGTAGTTGGACTTTACACATTAATGCTCAAAACTGGGTCCTGAACGCTCGTGTTGCACTCGATTGTGTTCTCAGAAAAAGAGTTACGCATTGTGTGGGAGTGTGTGAGGCGTGTGTGTGCAAACTACAGGGATATGTCCCCTGTCGTTTTAACACAGAAGGCACACTGCTGGGGGGGGGGGGGGTGTATCTGTGGCACAAAAAAAAGATTGAGATCGCTTATAATCATATGTAGAATCCTACATCAGTCGCACTCAGACCTTGGGGAGTTTCAGCAGAAAGCCCACAGCTTCCTCATACTGATCCAGGTGCAGCACTGTGGTACTGTCAGCTTTGTTTCCGTAGACTGGCATCATCAGCACCACAAAGCCTTTGTTCGCCAAGAGACATGCCCTCTCCTCCGTTGCAAATGTGGTATACCGAGGGTGTGGTTTGATTTTTAAAAAACCCAAGGGTCACAATCAAATTACAATATAAAAAGGAACACAGGTAAGTATCTAAGTTTAAATATGACAGAAGTGAATGAAAGTTTAAAATGTTTATTGATAAAAGGATGCTGCTAAAAAGAGAAAGGAATTTGGACAAACTAAAGTTAGAAAAGGTCAATTTTATTTAACAAATTAAACAATATATAAGAAGGTTATCCAAAAGTTAAAAGAATGGTAAAGATGAATCTAAAAAGGCCTAGATGCTAAAAATGCAAATACCAAAACAAAAAGGGAGCTAGCTGGGGCCACCGGTGGTGAGCATGCTACTCAGGGAGGTGCCCAGGGGTGCTACACAGAATACTCACCACAGTGGACACAGCAAAAAGACACAGCAAATGAAATGTGCAAACTAACTCGTGAACCAAGTGCACTAAATCACATGCAAAGGTGGGGGACCACACCAATGTGCCTAGCCCAGCCACCAGAGGCACCCAGCGTCGCTAAAAGAAAAAGATAAAAGTTGCTAATGAGAAGTACGACTGGACCCAGTTGGTTTTCAAATCAAAAGATTTAATTAAACTAAACTAGTCAGAGAAACTATATTAACAAAATAAAATGCAAAAGTATACATCAAAGAACAAACTAGACTAAAGCAAGTGGCACAAAAAAGCAAAACAAGAAACCAGCAACTAAAGAAAACCAGTAATGATACAAACAAAAGCAAAACAAACATCAAAACAGAACAAAAACAAAACAATGACAAAGTAAAACAGCAGCAGGTTAGCCTGTGTGGAACAAAGTTATAATTATTGTTAAGGCTGACTAAAACTAAAACTTGCCACCAACTTACCACCCTTGACGGTTAGGAACCAGCACTAAATAAAAACAAGACCAATTGTCACCATTGGGGCAGAACGGATTAAGGACAGAAAAAGAGTAACAAGTGGTAAGGGCCTACCTCCACAGCAGACTTATGCTGCCTACCCACTCCAGCAATACAGCAGCAAGACCAATTTGGACAAATTCATGAGGAAAGGACCACAGCTACAGAGCACACCAGCATCACAAAATGGCTCCCCTCCAACTTACCCAGATGTTTAAAAGGGGCAGCTAACTAGTGGGTGGGGCGAGGGTGGAGCTAGGGGTGGAGCCACAGGGCACACCAAAGCCCCACTACATTCTACCCCCCAAGACTTTAATCGTCGGCCCGACGATTGTGTTTACTGCCATGGCCGGAACACTCTTGTACTGGGTGCGGGCAATTGCGAGTTTGTAGCCCCTATTGCATTACTCCCTACTGGTTGGGGAAGGTGGTAGCGATTTGGGTGTCTTCCGGCCGTGGCCCGAGTGGTCCTCCTTGGAGGGGCATCCTCATCACTCGGTGGGTCTGTGACGGAAGGAGCTGGCTCTGACTCGCGGCCCGTTGATGTGGGCACAGGTGACTGACCTGACGAAGCTGGTACTGAGGTCCTGGGTGTGGTGCCGCGCCGAACCGGTTCCTCTACTCTAAGAAACCACTCTCCCTCGGCCAGTGGCCCTTCGGGTGCCGTGGCGATAGGAACTGGCGCGGGCTCCATAGGAGGTGGTGCCGGTTGATCCACTTTGCCCTTTATCAGTGACCGATAGACATTTTTTACTTGTCCAGGACTGTTGACCGGAGCGATAGTGTACACGCAACCTCCAGGTTTGGGTGCAGTTACGACTTTGTGCACTACAGAGCTCCATAAATCTTCGATCTTGTGGCGGCCTCGGATTCCAACATTTTTCAAGTAGACCAGCTGACCCTGTGCCAACGGCTGATCGCGGACCTTTGCATCATGGTTTGTTTTCCTGTGTACCGCCGCCGCGTCCAGGTGCCTTTTTGCTTCGTCAAAGGCATGCTTTAGTCGCCGTTGATGTTCGACAATCCACTCTTGAACAGTACCTGCGACCGGCTCCTCGATGCGCCCAAGAATGAAGTCGACTGGCAACTGTGGGTCTCGACCGAACATCAGGAAGTAGGGAGACTCACCCGTGGACTGATTTGGGGTGGTGTTGTAGGCAAATGTCATCTGGGGCAGGTAGCAGGACCAATCCCTCTTCTTTGTTACTGGCAGAGTGCGCAAGAGGTTATGAAGAGTTCTATTGAACCTCTCGCACTGCCCATTTCCGGCGGGGTGGTAGGGCGTAGTGTGAGTCTTTTGAACCCCGTACAGTTGACAAAGCTGCTGGATCAATGAGCTTTCAAAGTTCCGTCCTTGATCGGAGTGAATACGTGCTGGCACTCCGAATTTGTAAAACCACTCCATGACGAGGACTCTGGCAGCATTAGATGCCCTCTGGTCTCTGGTGGACACGGCTTGGGTGTACTTTGAGAAGACGTCCGTCATGACCATCACATTCTCCATGCCATTCTGTGAGGGTTCCAGAATGGTGAAGTCAATGGCCAGGATCTGGTTGGGGCGAGAAGCCAGTAAGTGTCCCATGTATGACCCGCCAGATCTGCTTTCTTTGGCGACTTGACATCTTTCACACTCTTGGCACCATCTCTGGATCTCAGCGTACATTTTGGGCCAGTAGCATCGCTGATGGATTAGCTCCGATGTCCTCTCAATTCCCTGGTGCCCATGCTCCTGATGTAGTTGCTGTAACACCAGTTCTTTCAGAGCACTGGGGAGGACCAGTTGGAGGGCTTCTTCCCCCTTGAGAGTAATCCGGCGGTAAAGTATATTGTCCCTGGTGAGGAGCCGAGACCACTGTTGGACTAGGATCACGGTGTCCCTCAAGAGGTTGCGCCGCTCTGTTGCGTTGGGACGCCTCTCCTCTCTCCAGAAGTGCAGGAACTCTCCAATCATGGGGTCAGCTTCCTGTAAGGCACACAGATCAGCAACAGATTGAGATGGCAAAACTGATACAAGGTTGGAAGATACGGGTTGCCTGGCTGAAATGGCTTGCTGCAGTGGTTCTGGCATAGGAAGGCCTAAGGGTACTGGAACATGGTCATGATTGGCCATAGGGTTTTGGCGCGACAGAGCATCAGCGTTGCCATTAGCTCGTCCTGGCCTGTATTTTATGGTAAAATCAAAGTTGGCTAGCTGGGCAGCCCAGCGTTGTTCCAGGGCACCGAGTTTGGCAGTGGACAAATGGCTGAGTGGATTATTGTCTGTAAACACGGTGCATTTATGTCCAATCAAATAGTCTCTGAACTTTTCGGTCATTGCCCATTTAAGTGCAAGAAACTCTAGTTTCATTGAACTATAATTGTTCATGTTCCGCTCGGTAGGGCGAAGGCCACGGCTCGCATAGGCTACTGGTCTAATCTTGCCATCTTGTTCTTGCGAGAGGACTGCGCCCAACCCACTGTAGCTGGCGTCAATTTCAAGTATGAACGGTAGTGAGAAGTTTGCGTAAGCTAAAACAGGCGCTGCCACCAACCTTTGTTTAAGTTCTGTAAAACTGGTCTCACACTCTGGAGTCCATGCAGTGGGCAGTGGAGTCTTTGAAGGCCTCCTGGTCTTTGTCCCATTAAGCTCTGCCACGAGACGATGTAGCGGGGCGGCCAGTTTTGCAAACCCCTCAATGAACCGGCGGTAATAGCTGGTGAATCCGAGGAAAGAGCGGAGCTGTGGAACAGTTGTTGGATGGGGCCAATTTGAGACAGCCTCAACCTTGCTGGGGTCTGTAGAGACACCATCCCTGGAAATTACATGGCCCAGATAGCCCACTTCGGTCTTGAAAAATGAACACTTCTCCAGTTTTGCTTTCAGTCCTTCTTGCAGCCGAAACAGTACGGTCTCCAGCCTTGCGATGTGTTCTTTGACTGTGGATGAAAAGACCACCACATCATCCAGGTACAGTAACAATGATTGACAGTTCTGATCACCAAAAATCCTTTCCATCAATCTCTGGAATGTTGATGGCGCATTGCACAGCCCGAATGGCATCCTGTTCCATTCAAACAATCCAAAGGGGGTGCAGAATGCAGTCTTCATTTTGTCTTGTTCTGTTACTGGTACTTGATTGTACCCCGCAGCGAGGTCCAGCGTCGAAAACCATTGGGCCCCAGAGAGGGCGTCAAGGGACTCCTCTATTCTGGGCAAGGGGAAGGCATCCTTGCGGGTTTTACTATTAAGGAGCCGATAATCGACGCACAAGCGGAGGCTGCCATCTTTCTTATTGACAAGCACAATGGGAGATGCAAAGGGGCTACAACTTTCCGAATCACCTGCGATTCCAGTAGCTGCCGGATGTGTGCTTTGGCGGCCTCATACTCTGACGGTGGTATCCGTCGGTACCGTTGCTTTACAGGCACCTCGTCAACTAGGGGGATCTCATGGGAAATTAGGTTAGTGCACCCTAAATCTCCCTCATGCTGAGAAAACACATTGTCATACTTATGAAGAAGGGCCTTGACACTGTGCTGATCCTGATCTGAAAGTGCGGAAAGGTCCATAGAGTCAATCCTAGCCTGCATTGGTATGCCAGTCTGAGAGGACATAGTGGCACTAAACTGACCCGTGACAGGTGAACAAACGATCTCTGCCTCAGTCAGAGTACCTAGTACAGTACGTGGGTACAATAGGACGTCCTGGTTCCCTACATTAACAATGGGGATGTAAACTCTGCCATTATCAATATGGACCACGGATGGAGAAGCCAAGAGTCCCACTGGCAAGCCGTCTGTACGGGGCTCAAACAACGCGTCTGTCTCTAGGCTTTGCTGAAAACAAGTGGCAGCTACCATCTTAACAGTACCTCCTGGAACCCTGCAAGCTTTACCCTCCTGTACTTTTACTGTGCCCGAAAGCAAAGGAGGGCCTGCGTCAATCCGGTGACAAAATCGAAGCGCTTGCTGAAGTGTGGGTGGGGCCTGTAAGACAGAAGGCGTGTGAAAGAGGGCATGACCAAACTGAGAAAACAATTCCTGATAGCACTCTTTCAGGATGTTCATGCCTATAACTCCTGGGGTAGACGCAGGAAGGTCCTTAGTCACTAGCACCCCTTTTAGAAATGACTTTCCCACATAGTTCTACATCCAACTCAAAATAGCCTATGTATGGAATGGCTAAGCCATTAGCCGCGCTTAGAGTCAACCAATTACAAGTTTTCAACCTTTGTTGACCCCAAGGTTGAAAATGTTGGGCAAAGAAAGTTTCAGTTATGGTCGACACCATGGAACCTGTGTCAACAAGGCAGGGAACTTCAACACCACCCATCACAACTGAAAGATTCGGACAGGCTGAGACCAAGTTGTCTGGAATTGCTGGATTTGAGCCTGAGGGACCCTCACCTGAACTGTGGCTCAGTGGTTCAGGGGGTGCCAGGTTCCCGGCTGCAAACCATGAGTGGGACCTCTATTTTGGAGTTGGGGGGACACATAAGGGGAGCGACAATGACGCGCATAATGACCTGGCTGCTGGCATCGTTTACATATGACCGGGTTACCATAGTTTGTCTGCTGCTGTGGACCTCTAAGCTCTGCCAAACTTTTAGTGAGGAGGTTTAACTGTTCCTGCTGATTTTTAAGCATTTCCTTTAGCTCTGACATTTCTGAACTAGGGGGTGGTCTACTGAACTGGTTTGGATTTGTATGGACCTCTTGTACAGCGTGCTGGAATCCAAATGCAGAGGGGACTGAGTGACTACGAGCTCTCCCACCCACTGGCATCCCTTCCTGTTCCCACCTCATGGCCTCAGTGCGAACCTGAATAAGGGTGGCAGTTGGGTTATCACGAACATGCCGCTTTAAAGCTCGACGAAGTGAGCAATCGGAGACATGTTCAACAAATTGGTCTCGTAACAACACCTCTTTGTTTTCTACATTTCTAGGAGCCTTTTTAACAACTTTGTCCATAAGACACATTAAAGCATGGGAGAATTCTTGGAGCGTCTCACCCTCTATTTGCTTTCTTGAAAAAAACTCTTCTTGCAAACACACATGTGACCTTGTACAACCATACAATTCCTCTAAAATGGCTATAACTTTATGGGGGTCCTCACGCTCTCTTACAGAGCGATATTTAATCTCTTCCCTCGCTTGACCCTCTAAATGATCAAACATAAACAAGGCTTTCTCAGCCGAGGTACAACGGCGTAAGCGAAGGCAGGCTTCGACTTCTTCAAGCCACTCAGTAACGTCCAGTCCAGTGTTACCTCTAAACATTGGGCACCGACGCTCCCTGGGGAGGTACACCAGCCTCTCAGTTACCGGGGCATTGGAGTCGTTCCCAATAGGACTGGAATCAGAGGTGGACGTGGAGCTTGACGTCCCAGGTCGAGCTCCATCCTGGTTCTGCTGTTCCTGAAGCCTCCGATTCTCCGCCTGGAGCTGAGCGACCAATTCCTTTAGTCCAGCGATTTCCTCCATGGACAGAGCAGAAGAGATTACGGCAGCACCAGCCGACGAGGCACACCCCAAACCCTGCTGCTGTTTTACACCACAAATAGAAATTAAACCAACCAACTGGGTCACAAAAAAAGAACATTACACGTCTCTGTCAATCTCAGAATCCTGCCAGCAACGCCAGATTGTGGTATACCGAGGGTGTGGTTTGATTTTTAAAAAACCCAAGGGTCACAATCAAATTACAATATAAAAAGGAACACAGGTAAGTATCTAAGTTAAAATATGACAGAAGTGAATGAAAGTTTAAAATGTTTATTGATAAAAGGATGCTGCTAAAAAGAGAAAGGAATTTGGACAAACTAAAGTTAGAAAAGGTCAATTTTATTTAACAAATTAAACAATATATAAGAAGGTTATCCAAAAGTTAAAAGAATGGTAAAGATGAATCTAAAAAGGCCTAGATGCTAAAAATGCAAATACCAAAACAAAAAGGGAGCTAGCTGGGGCCACCGGTGGTGAGCATGCTACTCAGGGAGGTGCCCAGGGGTGCTACACAGAATACTCACCACAGTGGACACAGCAAAAAGACACAGCAAATGAAATGTGCAAACTAACTCGTGAACCAAGTGCACTAAATCACATGCAAAGGTGGGGGACCACACCAATGTGCCTAGCCCAGCCACCAGAGGCACCCAGCGTCGCTAAAAGAAAAAGATAAAAGTTGCTAATGAGAAGTACGACTGGACCCAGTTGGTTTTAGACAACCTGTTGCTGTAAACATAAATCAAAAGATTTAATTAAACTAAACTAGTCAGAGAAACTATATTAACAAAATAAAATGCAAAAGTATACATCAAAGAACAAACTAGACTAAAGCAAGTGGCACAAAAAAAAAAACAAGAAACCAGCAACTAAAGAAAACCAGTAATGATACAAACAAAAGCAAAACAAACATCAAAACAGAACAAAAACAAAACAATGACAAAGTAAAACAGCAGCAGGTTAGCCTGTGTGGAACAAAGTTATAATTATTGTTAAAGCTGACTAAAACTAAAACTTGCCACCAACTTACCACCCTTGACGGTTAGGAACCAGCACTAAATAAAAACAAGACCAATTGTCACCATTGGGGCAGAACGGATTAAGGACAGAAAAAGAGTAACAAGTGGTAAGGGCCTACCTCCACAGCAGACTTATGCTGCCTACCCACTCCAGCAATACAGCAGCAAGACCAATTTGGACAAATTCATGAGGAAAGGACCACAGCTACAGAGCACACCAGCATCACAAAATGGCTCCCCTCCAACTTACCCAGATGTTTAAAAGGGGCAGCTAACTAGTGGGTGGGGCGAGGGTGGAGCTAGGGGTGGAGCCACAGGGCACACCAAAGCCCCACTACACAAAGGTGCAGATCTCCAGCACCGCGGGGAAGGGTCCAGGGCCTGGAAACAGGAGGCAGGTTTGAACAGTACCATTACAAAGTATTAAATATTAATATCATTTTCCTTTTAAACACAGAAACTGCAGACACTTAAGTCATGTTTCTCCACACAAAACAGGAGCAAAATGTTTCCTATGTGTTATGGTGATTAGCTGTGAAAGGCAGCGATCTGGTTAGTTCTAGGAGAAGATCTTAGGTTTAGCATTGGTTGAGAGCTGTGTGTTTGCCTTGATCAGTCCACTTTAGAAAGCTGAAAATCTTAGAGTTTAACTTAAGATACCACAGATAGGGCAGGGCGATATGGCTGAAAACTATATCACAATATAAGTGATTCATATCGGTCAATATCAATAGAGATATCTCACGTGACGTCACGATGCCTCGAACTCGCGGGGCATCCGCCATACTGGAGGACAAGCAAACGCTGTATGATAGTGGCGTGCACCCGGGACCGCATAAACATGTTCAAAATTTTTGCCGTTTTTGGCTGCAGCAAAAGGAGAGACAGGGAAAATAAGTTGTGTTACCCACTGCCAGCCGTCCTTACTTCACACGGCTCAAAAACAGAAGACACCTCAAAGAAACGAGAGAGAAATGGCACAACCATACACAACAACAAAAAACTAATAGCCACCAGAGCGCCCGAATATGCTCGGATCATTTCATTTCTGCTAAGTGAAATCAATTTGATGGCGGATTTAGTGGTATTCCGAAACAAACAGAAGTTTAAGGATAAAACATATCTGTCTGACTGCAACGTGGGGTTGCTCCATAGACTGTAGCTTAGCTTGTAGCATAGCTGTTATATATTTGGTCTCACACAGGACCTCACCCGGTTCACAGGGTATCTGACTTACCGAAGGCCAGCAGACATGTGAACGACTGAGCCGTGCTCGAGGGTGCCCCGTACTAGTATTTATTAATAAAATATACGGCTCCTCACAGTAGACGCAGAAAGCTCCATTGATTTGATGTAATCTCATTATTTCCACTGCAGTGTAGCCACACATAGATCCATGGTGTAACAATAAACACATTAAATGTTAATTGGAGAATACATTATACATATACATTCTTAATACACGTGCACAGAGGTTTTCAGAATTTTCTGTTCACGTTTTCATGAAAAAACACTGTTTTAATGCAACAATATGCGACCGCGGTAAACCTGGATGTAACGATAAACATTAATAATACATTTTAGGATGCATTTTCAGAGGATCTGATTCATGAATTTAGGTTGAGTATATATTTGGGTCACTAACTGCTGAAGTTTCAAATTCTATGTTCAGTTTTCATGTAGTTCGAGAGAGTTCTAGTTTTGAACGTCCAGTTATAGATAGCTAGCAGGGCTGTTACTCGCCGAGGTTGTCCTCCAGTATGGCTGCAGTGGCTGCTAGTCACGTGACCGTAGGATCCCTCTAATTTAGGCCTGAGCCCCAACTGGGGTAAGGGCCTATTGCTTTCTCCCAGGCCTTACTCGTAACTGTCATAAGTCACAATCTCCGGGCGCAGCCCAAACACTGACAAATCCGTGCCGGAGGCACGGAATGGCTTTGCTCTTGCTGTAGTACACAGTGAAATGAATGGGGTCCTACAGAGGGGGTGGGTGACCTGATGATGGCGAGTGACGCGCTAGTCAATCACGAGAACCCAATAGTTGCGTTCGCCTTGTCGTTCGTTTTAAAACGATGTATCATTTGTATTATAGGTTACTATGGACTATGGAAAATTCCTTGGTTTGGTTTCTTTTTTCTTCTGCGCTTTGAGCCTTAAATTTGACCCCCTGAACATTGATGAAAAGTTGTGAAATTTTGCCCAAAATTCAGAACTGGTGAAAAATGTATTTGTTTGGTGTTTTTCTTTTTGGGAACAGCGCCCCCTACAAAAGTCAGTTTACATTGCGCCAATGGGAGGGGGTCGGAGGTCAAGTTTGTCATAGAGCCACGAAATTCTGTACACATGTTCAAGTCAAAACATGAAAAAAAAGTTATTATGGCTCCGCCCCTTGACAAACAGGGTTCGTCAGGGTCGGGAAATTAAATCCCATTAATTTCAATGGGAAATGGAAAAATGAAAATTGATAATTTTCACACGTTTCGGTTGGAAAACATCTCCTCGGCCATTTCACCGATTTTTCTCAAAATCGCTCCACATGGTCTACACAAATGTACCATCAATTATTCAATATAGAATTTGGATCAGTTAAACGTTGTCCGAGCAGCGGATCGGCAAAATGTGACTTTTTTATTTTTGACATCAGTAAATCAAACAAAGTCTGATTTTCACCAAATTTGAATCCATTGTTCAGCTCCAGGGTCTAGGTCATTTGAAAGTTGAAATTGGCTCATTAGCACCCCCTACAGACTATGTCAAAGTTTTATATGGGCCTAATAAAATTTATTGTTTTCAAAATGTTTGAAATTTTGCGCATAATTCTGTTTGTCACCTGGATTCAAAAACTCAATGACAACATACGATTATTTTTTACCCTGTTGCCGTGGCAACGGCAAACATTCCCCATACTGTGTCTATGGGAAAATTGTTAAATGAATGAAAAGTACACCTCCCTCAAACATCAAACCAGCGTTGGCCGTTTCACTAATTTGTCTGAAAAACGCTCCACATCGTCTCAACACATGGACTATCAATAGTTGCATATAGAATTTGAATTGTCAAATGGTCTGCGCGTGACAGACTCCCAAAGTGTGGTTATTTTCATAGAGGTGTGAAGTTCCCATGTTATCCAATGGAGACAGTATGGACACACTCACAGATTGTATGTGCAAACAGGAGCACATTTACAAACTCTGATTTGCACTAAACTTAACTCTGTGTGAACAATTACATTGGCCCATTAGCGCCCCCTACAGGCCGAGTAAAGGTTTACATGGGGATAAAGGTATTTAGGTTTTCTGTAGCCTGGCCATAGCCATCCGTACACTCCGCTCAATCATAATTTCACTGCATGTAACGTCTGGGTCTGGTCCCTGTGTTAGCGAATACAATCGGTCGTATTTCGACCAGCTACTCAGAGAGCGCGGAAGGCGGGTGTTGTAGGTCGGTGCCGGTGACGTCAAGAGTTTGCGTTGAACGGGCAGGTTGTAGTTTGGCGGTGGCGAAGAATGCAATAGTAAAGTAATCTGGTCTGGTTCTATCAGGAAATTGAAGCAGGAGCAATAGTAATCACTGCATGAAAAGTTAGATTTTCGTCACCCTAAACGGCAGGAAATCACGCTCTTTTTCGGGTATCTCAGGCAGTTTTCAAAACCCGCAGTTAGGGTGCCCTGTCCTCCAAACTGCCGTATCCGTACCATGCTAATGTCCCTACTTTGCATATGAATGCAGCGAAACACTGCGGCCGCCGAGCGCTAATGGCCCTAATTAGCATATGAATGCAGCGGCTGGCCAGGCTGCTATTCAGCATTGGTGGATACCACTACTTTCAAACTCGTGTTTGGCTGAAAAATCACACGTGGGATTACTCCCCATTGGTAGCTTACTCCCCATTGGATGAAATCACTACTTTCAAATAAGTATTATCTCTCGTGATTGGCTGGCAGATCTGTCACTATTGGTCACACTGCCTCATAATTAATGTAATAATATTTATATAAATATTCGTATTATTTATAGAAGAAATAAAAATTTTCCAGGAATATGTTCATACAAAGAAAGCTTTATTAAAACACACACACACACAGCTTTATGCCCACACATAGGTAATTAAAAAATTACAACTCTGAACTGTCCAATCGCCTCCTCGGGGTTGTAATTTGGCAGGGTTCTAGATAGACGCTTAATGTGCGTGGCTCTGTACGTCCGCACCGCCTCTAACCAGGACTGCAGCTTGACAGAGTTCAGAAAACTCCGGCTTTCGAAAAGACGGGGACCGCACAATCCACCCAGAGACACTGTCCACAACGCCTTCTTCTTCATTGGACATTAGGTCTACCGTGGCGGACTTCCGGAGTTCCACTTTGTCACTTTCTAGCACACTCAGTCTCGATTCCAGCGGCTGAAAGAATCAGTAAATATTATTAGCCACATCAAATCCTTTTTCCCATCTAAACATTGCCAGGATCAAAAACATAGTGTCTAAAGCAGACCTGGAGATTCTTATCCATGCATTTGTCTCCAGTAGGTTAGACTACTGTAACAACAGCTGCAGTACATTCAAAATGCAGCAGCTCAAGTCCTGACCAGAACCAGGAAGTACGATGGCAAGGCAAGTTTATTTGTCTAGCACAATTCATACACAAGGCAACTCAAAGTGCTGAGCAAAATAAAGCATTAAAATAAATAATCACAGTACATTAACAAAGATAAATATAAAATGCCTCAGTTGTAGCACAGCTAAAGTGACAGCTCCTCTCTGACAATGTTTAAAACCAGGTCAAAAACAGTTTGGTTTAGTTGTGCTACAACTGAGGTAAACTGTTTTTAACCTGGTTTTAAACATTGTCAGAGAGGAGCTCTCACTTTAGCTGTGCTACAACTGAGGGATTTTATATTTATCTTTGTTGATGTACTGTGATTATTTAATGCTTTCTTTTGTTCAGCACTTTGAGTTGCCTTGTGTATGAATTGTGCTACACAAATAAACCTCCCTTGCCTTACTGTGCGATGCAGTTTAGTCTTACCCTCTTCTCGCTCGACTCCGAGCTGAACTCTTCGCAACGTCCGCCCTCAATGAGTTTTCTGGCTTGGCATTTTGATGGCTCCTGCAAACCGTCTCATAATAAGTCTTACAGGCCGCTAGAAAACAATCAAAAAGTGGTATGAATAAAAATCAAACGCAAGTCACAGTAACGTCAAACAAGGGAGAAACAGTAAAACACTTACACACAATGTCGTCTTTATCAACATCGTGGAAATGTGGACTTGCAGATATTGGTCACCGTCTCATTACGAGGCTAGATTAGTCTGAAAACAAAGTCTACAGTTATGATTGGTATCTATACATATCCATTACCGACACAAAACGTGTAGGTAAACCAAATTAAATTTCCATGGATACATTAACAATACTTACATAACCTTTTTGAGAAAATGGATCCTTCAATGAAGAAAAAAGTGTGATAATTCTAAGAGCATAGCTTTCTTTTTGTTTTCGGGAAGGCATTTGTCTAAGGAAAGAAAAACAGTCATGGTCAAGGGACTTCATGGTTACATAAAAAGGCTAAATTAATAGTTTCTACAAGTACATATTTTCACGGGGACCTAACCAAGAGATAATCTACAGGAGAAAATCTACCTAGGTCATTTATAAAAAGAGATAAGTACTATTTATTACAATGGGGAATCAATAACAGTGCAGAGAGAAACTGAATTGTTACGTGATTATTGTGAAAGGTCTTTCAAGTGATTTTCATTTTATTTTGAGTAAATATCCTTCCACTTGTAAGAAGGAACTTTAGAGTAATAACTGAGGGTTACAACATACCCATGTGTTTCACTCATGTCACTGACGAGAAGGTCGACAAGTTGTCTTCGAGAGCGGTGACTTAGTGATCTCACAGAATTATAATCTTTAAGGATCTCTCGGTCACCAGGGTTTTCTTGCAGTTCCACCATCTACAAACACGTGGAAAATGTAAAATGACAATCTACAATTGTACCAAAAATCTTAGGATACAAAATGCAGCAGTACCTCTTTTGCTGTGTCCTTCTCACACATGTCCTGATTGGATCTCCTTGTAACTGCCACAGAGGATTCTCCTTTAGGAGGAGACTATGGGTTGAGGTCAATTGAAAGTGATGGTGTCCATTTCCATTTGAGAAAGATCTGTTAAAAAAATAAAACATCTAAATATGATGCATTACTTATAATACTTTGTAATTTCATGATTTTGAATGTGAAATAAATGTGAGTCTCCTGTGTCTCCTCCTGAAGCAAAACTCCTGAATTTAAAGCTCGGATACCCACATTTTTCCTCCATGCATTAACAATGCATGTTATTTGTGCACAAAAGTAAAATGTCTTTATTCCCAAACCCTAGTTAACTCGTTATATTGAGAGATGTAGAGTTACCTTCAAGTGTGTTGTGACCGGGCAAAATCACGGTCCTTTAATATATTACATGTCATTCACACTACTGGACAGAATAAACCCGCCTTAACGAAGTGTATTTCAAGCTTCAAGTTTTAGTTTCATTTTTGTCACTTTCTTTCTTGTACCGTTTCCCTGTATTATTTGAATGTCTTTTTCAGGTGAGGTTAAGGTTGTTAAAGCAGTACTGAGTAAGTTATCACCTACAAGTGTCACTGCTTGTTGTCTTTTTCATAATTGTACATAGGAGTAAAACACTGTACTGACAGACAAGACAAATGGAGGGGGATGTACTTACCTTTCTCCTTTCCCCATCTCCTCTGCTGCACATATGTGCATTTCAACACCAAACACAATCATATGTCATTTCTTTTTGTTATTGCTTTATGAACTTACACAGGAATCGAGGTGCCGGACAATCTTTGAAAGCTTAGTGCCAGCAGACCCCCTTTATGTCTTTATGAACTGTGTCGTTAGGAAATCCAATGCTTCAACGAAATCATTGCCCAGTTTGGAGCTGGTGATCTGGTTAAATTCTGCCAGGACCTGCAAAAAAAACCATAAAACACTTCAAGTTAAATGCATAGATGTAAAAAATGTGTACACACCTGTCTCTCTGTATAAAGTGCTGGCCAGCGCGCTTTGACATTTTCCACAGGTAGGGCAGAATTGACTATTTCTTGTTGTCGGACTGCAACTGTAAGCAAAAAAAAGAATAATCAATATATATATAAAACAATATCACATGATTTTTGCTCAAATGTGTTTAAAGGAGGTCTAGATTCACTCAATAACATTAAGCAATGGACTTAATAAACAAAACAAAAAAAATTAACAGAAAGACAAAAGTGACAAATGAGATGAAAAAGTACAAAAATAAAAGTGAAAGTCTTAGTGCTCAAACAAAGACAGGAACAGTGCAAAACAAATGATATATGTTAGATATTCCACAGAACTCTAGTCCACAGTCTCCTGTATATCAGGCTCTGCCATGAGCCCAAACTGCTTTTCCTTCGGTTCTTTCGAAGCAGTCTGCTCTGTGCGCCTCGTCCATGCTCCTGCAGCTCCATGCTTCACAGAAAGTTATCACACACGGAGCAATCACAGCGGGGATTCCTTCCGGCGGTGGCCCGCGTAGTTAGGGCCGGGAATATGGCTCTGAACACGGCTACAGTTAGCTACTAACAGCTACATTCACCACATACACCATACAGAGCTCTCTCAGGCCTCCGGGAGAGCGGCTCTGAACACGGCCACAGTCACTGCATTCACCGCTGAGCTGGTCGAACACACGAGTTTTATAAGATAATATAGTCGAATGTATACACGTTCTTAACACACTTCTTTAGCTTTATACCTTTATAACAATGAACAACGAGTCTTAACACTTACCGTACATTCAAAAGAGTCCTCTCTTCACGTTCCACGAGACTCCACCGTCGACTTCAGGCAAAGTATTTCCTTGCTTTTTGCGCATGCGCGAACTGCGCATTCAGTTTGTGAAGTCCCCAAGTTTTGGTTGTGTAAAGAGAGTGATGATAACACCAACAGCCGTTTGTGTGTATATATGTATATGTATTAGGGCTGTTTTTAACGCATTAACGCATGTCCGAATGACCCGCCCATTTATCCATAAGAATATCACTCAGAATGCTGCGTGTGAGATGGCCTCCTCCGTGGCCGCTCTGGTTGTTGTTAGCGGCTGTGAGTGAGTGCAAGCTTTGCACGGGCTGTAAGCATGGATCTAGCTATTATAATAACAGCAGCAAGCGATTGCTCCGTTCACATACTCAGCGCTCTGCGCACTGTATTTTCCCTGGTTCTTGTCTGTCAGGCGCGCTCTGCGCACTGTATTCTCCCTGGTTCTTGACTGTCAGGCGTGAGTGTTGCTCGTGTGTGTCTTTGGGAACTAATTATTTTAAAATAGTCTCTTTCAATTGCAAGTTTTGTAATCTGTTTGTTTGATCAATGGATAAAAATAAATGCAATTTAATTAAATGGCACCTTGGCCTGTCTTATACCTGTTTGCCTGCAGGACAGTTCCCTAAACTAAAATATCATACTAAAATAGGGTGGGGTTGTTGCAACAATTAATCTACTTAGAAGTTATCCTAAATTACAGCCAGCTAAAGCTCGGTACCACGACAAACGAAAAAGTAACGCAATAGTTACTTTTACTGCTAACTAGTTACTTTTATAGTGGAGTAACTCAGTTAGTAAGTCACTTACTTTTTGGAAGAAGTAACTAGTAACTATAACTAATTACTTTTTCAAAGTAACTTACCCAACACTGGTAATTATATTTGATAATCTCATTTAAAGGCACACCGCGGACTTTGTGACCTAAAGAGTTGACACATATGAGTTATTTTATATGAATACTTGGGCCAATATACAGCGCTTGACACTTGCAATGCTCCGAGCGGGGCTGCCCTCTTGAAATACCGCCCATGTAAGTTTCGAGCAGACGGACCGTCTGCCACCAGGTCACGTGACTTTGAAGAAAGACTTGCTTTACGGCTACAGGCGCTGATATACTCATGGAGCTAAGGCTTTTGCTACTCATTTTTCACCTGCTCGACTCCTGGTCATGGCTGAGGCAAGGAAAAATTTTAAACCTTCGGAGGAGGCTAAAAAGAGGAAACGCGAAAGGGATCGTGCTGTAAGCTGCATATCTGTATGAGCGCTGCTCTTCACCTGGTTCCTGGATGTCATCGACTGCAAAGATGTCATTCCACGCAGCACGAGCTAGACGCAGAACTCCCTCATCCAGGATATAGAAGTCCATGTGTGGTAGATTACTAATGCAGCGGTCTGGAGGCTGACCACAGCAGAGTCTCTCAATATCTGTAGGCATGTCTCTACAGTTTGAACACACACACCAGTGCATGCTGTCTGAATACACACTCAAAAGACACCGGCTGACTGTTTGTTGACTTTTGCGACAGTGCTGAGTTGCTTGTGGCCACTAGGGGCGCTAAACGTGAAAGTTGCAGGTCTAGCGCCCCTAGTGGCCAAGAGTTACACGGTGTGCCTTTAACTTCAATTGGAGTGGATTTGAAATAGAATGTTAAACATGCGATTAATCGTGAGTTAACTCACCATTACTATGCGATTAATCAACTAAAAAAAATTTAATCGTTTGACAGCCCTAGTATAGTAACTACTGAAAGTAGTTGTGCAGCATCGCGCAAAGTTGTGCTCCCCCTCAACCCTGATTTGCATTTGTATAGCTCCCAGCATTCCCATTTACATGTTAAAGGAATAGTTCACCGTTTTTACATACTGACATATGTTCTTACCTTACCTTAGACTAGTTAATACGTACCTGTGTGATCTTAGTCCGTGCGCTCTGTTATGCAAACGGAGCAAAAACGGGAGGACAAATGCAGCCTCCTCTGGTCACTGTGTAGCACCAAAAGGTAGCTCCCGCTAGAAGCTACCAAACTCTTCCAAGTGTTCCCTATTAAATGTATATAGTTACGTGACGTGTTACACTGCAAAGTATAGTAACACAGAAATGTAACTGTCGATTTTCTCAGCGGATAAAACGGGTACTATATTGTGAGGCGTAGTAATCTGAGGTGCGCTACGTCCGCGCACTAACTTCTCTCCGGAGACTTCTCTCTCGCTCACTTCCGTCAATAGAAGCAGCGTGACTTGTAGTACGGAGAGAAGTTAGTGCGCGGACGTAGCGCACCTCAGATTACTACGCCTCACAATATAGTACCCGTTTTATCCGCTGAGAAAATCGACAGTTACATTTCTGTGTTACTATACTTTGCAGTGTAACACGTCACGTAACTATATACATTTAATAGGGAACACTTGGAAGAGTTTGGTAGCTTCTAGCGGGAGCTACCTTTTGGTGCTACACAGTGACCAGAGGAGGCTGCATTTGTCCTCCCGTTTTTGCTCCGTTTGCATAACAGAGCGCACGGACTAAGATCACACAGGTACGTATTAACTAGTCTAAGGTAAGGTAAGAACATATGTCAGTATGTAAAAACGGTGAACTATTCCTTTAAAGCCTCCTGTGGAGGAGGGAGGAGGGGACAACAAACTACCGTCAACAGCCGAATCCCAGAAGTTTCACAGTAATATACAGGGCCGAAAAGAGACGAAAATCACACTTTTCATGCAGTGAATGTTTAGCAAATGTAATCGCTGGTCAAGATTGTGGCACTACTCCCCACGGGCTCCGATTGCAGCAAAGGAGATGGCTAGGCTAAATGCTAATGCTAACAACTCACTCGGGCGCACTACATACGTCACGGTAAACTCAGATCCAATCGTTTCAATCTGCAAAAGGAGTTAACCCCTCCCACCTGTTCACGGAGCTCAATGGAGCAAATCCAGACCTTAGTATGAAATGAAATTTGTACTAAGGTGTGGTACAACCAGGCTAGGTTTTCTGTAGTTTGATCTCATATTTGACCCACTGACCAAACACGAAAACTCAAACTTTGCCACAAGTTTTTTTTCAGGCATAAAGTGTATTATTTTTGTGTTCTTTGGCATAAGACTAAAAATTAGAATTTGTAGGGGGCGCTATTGTACAACATAAATGCCTTCCGTTTGCACATACAACGTCCGATTTGCACAAAATTTGAATTGATTGTTCAACTCTCGGGTTTGGGTGAACTGAAAGTGTAAAAGACGAAATTGCAGCAATAGCGCCCCCTACAGACTGATTCAAGTGTTACATGGGGAGAATGAGGTTTACCTTTTTCAATAGAGGCACACAATCACTGATCATAGGAATTCAAAATCCACAGTCTCGTTCCCGTCAGGGCTGTAGGAAAATGGCGCGTCGGCATCACCTCCTTTTCACGATGCGGCGAGGGCCGTTTGACGCCGCTTGCGGCTTTAATTACGATTGTTTTTTTGTGCATTTGTTCGAAGTGCACACCAGGGTTGGAATGCGCAGGTTACAAGTGTGCAAAAAAGGCGGAATTGGGACAGTGCACACTGAGTGCAGGTTACGTCATTGACTCGTCAATAGATGGTCATTTTCAGACCTAAACTTTATAAACATTAAAGGTAATTTTGTCTGACCCTTTGGGAAACAAAATGAATTGCTTCACACATGTTAAATACATGTATATTAGTTGTTTTTAATAAGAGATAGCTGTATAATTTTAAGTTAAATGTGGGTAACTATCTGGTCAGTTTTTATACATTAAGATTATTGTACTAAGTGTAAAGTTTAAATTGAATGTTATATGAACATGAATATTTTAATTTTTTTTGCATTTCCCTGAATGCCTTGAGGTTCATGCTCGGCCGTAATAGGTCAAATAGCCTCTGCCTACATACCCCAGAATGCCGCGCGTTTCTGACTCTGCTTTACTTCATGTTTAGTGAAGTTAAACTATTGAACATTCTGTCGACCCCATTTTCTATTGATATAGAACACGTGTCTATCGCGATCGTTTTATCGCCTAGCCCTAACTAGAGACTTTTTCCAACAGTACTTAATTGTGAGCCATGGACACAAGAAGGAAGGTCTGAAGAAGGTATTAGACCTGGAGGAGTGAAGAGGACCGCAGTGAATCCAATCTTTGCCACAATCTGCCTAAGAACTCCATTTCCCATGATGCACCTGTGGTTGATCTGCTCAGCCAGCAGCATGTCTCTGCTGTACACAGACAACTTCACCTTCAGAGGGACTAGAGCCTGGGCTTTGAACGTTCTGTAAGGGATCTGAGGCTTCATGGTGCAGAGCAGACCCATGGGCCAAACCCCCGTGTAAGAGCCTTGCAGGGAGGGGTCCCGGGACACATCAACCTGGAGAAAAGCAGCGTTTATCACCTGGTCCCAATTTCCATGAGATGGACTTAAATATCTAAAATTCATTCCAGATACACAATATTACAATTTATCTCAAATATTATTCACAAATCTGTCTAAATGTGTGATAGTGAGCATGTAACACAGTCAATCTTTGTCACCAGGGTACAAGGAGACAACAGTTAAAAGTTTAAAATGGATTTATTACAAAAAGAGTCCTTAAAAGTATGATTATTGGGTTAAAACTAGAGGGAAGAGGCTGGAGCTAAAACTTAAAGGTGCGAGCTTTAAAAGTCAGGGTCCAGGCAATGCAGCGGTTTGGATAGGCCGTGCTGGTTGGCTTTGTCCCCAGCAGGCCCCAGATGCTGCACAGAACTGTTGGCCTTCAGACCGCCTGGAGGACCCGAGCTCTGTTTCACACCAGACAGAGGGAGAGTGTCAGCGAAGCATGACAATGATAAACATAAAGTAAACAGTCTGCTAAATTAAAATGAATGTTTATGATAAAGACTGACCTGTTTCACACCAGACAGAGGGAGAGTGTCAGGGAGAGGAAATGGTGCACTGAGATTTTAAAGGGGAAGTACCGCCCACCACAGCTGCCAACTAATTAAAACATGGCCATTGGCCCACACCAAACAAGGAAAAACACAAACCAAAAAAACCACACCCAAACTCAAAGTGACAGTGTAGAGAGGATACTTTTACCCTGTTACAAGCACTTCTGCTTTGCTGAGATAAACCATCCCACCTCACAGGTGTGCTATATCAAGATTCTGATACTGTCCACAATAAAAGGCCACCCTGAATGAGGTCCTTTTTTAGTGTTTGAAAACAACATTAATTTTGTCTTGTCAGAATTGAGTTTTAGCTGGACAAGAGTGTGCTGAACCACTTCAAATGCTTTCTGCAGAGATTCGACAGCTTTGGCTGAAGTCATTCCAAAACTGTAAATAATTGTGTCATCAGCCTAAAAATGTAAATTAGCATCTAACACATTTTGTCCCATTTCATTTATATACATCTGGGGTGGCCAACCAGTCAGAGACTAGAGCCATTTTTTTTCACTGTGTAACAGCAAAGAGCCACATCATGCAAATGTGCACTACATAAACATCACCCCAACCCTTACACACACACGCACACACACACACCTCTGCTCAGACATATTTATTGTAAATGTCATCAACATGATAATGACAGAAATTGACTCGTACAGTACTGAAGGGCTGGACTCGACTCTCCCCGGTTTGTGGGCGCTTCCACCGCTCGCTTTAGCCGCTCCCCGGTACTTTTTATTAATGGTTTGGCCCTGGTTCTAACCGGGTGAGTCGATACCAGAACAATTTCACGTCAGCGAACATCAATTATGATTCCGAAATGAATGCTTTCAATCTCTAACCAAGAAAAAAAAATCAAGTTTCAACCCAGTATTCAGCAGAAACACAACTGTCTTTATCGAACCATGATTCACTCTCTGACTGCGTCTAGTAAAAGATATAGATGTGACACATAACACCAACACCACTTTAGCTGATTTAGAACCACAGACACATGTTCAGTATAAGACCAGGTACTTTTGCATTTGATTGAAGACAGACACTCACCAGGCAGAGTTGGCTTATCTCCTGGTTTTAGCATGTTAGCTGGTGTTAGCTGGTTTTAGCATGTTAGCCGGTGTTAGTCGATGTCCGTAAATGTAATCCCTTTGGTCAAACCACCTCCTCCGTTCTGCCTCTACTTCTGCTGCTGTGATCTTTCATTTCACGGTTGTCACTTTTAAGCTTTTAAACTTTTCTCTGCATTGTCATGTTCGTGGGAATCCTTCTGCTCCGTCCTTAGCGCTAGCTCCACAAACACCTTCTGGTTTCTGGTGGAACCATCGAGCTCACGCTGGTGTCCTCTCCTCAAACTGAGAAAGGTGTTGCCCTCATCCAGCGACCAAGTAATTGTTCTCCGTACGGACGTCATGGGTCGAGGCAACGTGTTGTTTGGTATGATATTTGCAACAGCTGAGATGAAAGGCAGCGCCACCACCGAGGCGTTTTTGACGCTCGTCATGTGAGAGCCCGAGAGCCGCACGGAACCAGCCAAAGAGCCGCATGCGGCTCACGAGCCGCGGGTTGGCCACCCCTGATATACATTATGAACAGGAGGGGTCCTCATATTGAGCCCTGTGGCACCCCCTTGTGGACAGTCACAAAGTCAAACACTGACCATCACATTATATGCACTGAGTCCTGTCATTAAAATAATTTGTGAACCAAGAGACTACGTGATCTGACAGTCCCAAACAAAGAAGCCTATTCTTTAAAACGGCATGGTCCACCGTGTCAAAAGCTTTTGGCAGATCAATGAAAAGTGAAGCACAGTACTGTTATCACACATTTAGACAGATTTGTGAACAATGTTTGAGATAAATGGTAATATTGTGTATCTGGAATGAATTGTAGATTTTAAGTCCATCTCATGGAAAACGGGAGAAAAAGGTGTTGCGTTTTTATTTTTGTTAAGTAGATATTCAGTGGAAACTGAAAAGTGTACATACATATTGTAACATGATGATCCCCCTGACCTCCATATCAACCACCTCGTCACCTGGTCTGTAGGATTGAGCTAAGGGCTTTGAGATTGCCAAACAACTTTGTTCATGAGGCTCTTTGTAACTTGGGCTCTATGCTTGGGCTTTTTACTATCAAATTTTAGTGGAAGTAGCAGTACAAACGTAAGCTAAATAAAAAGATATAGTCAATTCAACACAACCCAACACACACACACACACAAGACACAGTCCCAAACACTCTCTGACCATACACCACTTCCATTACTCACAGTCATCACACCTTCATACTTCCTCAATGCTTCCTTTTTGCGTTTTCAATTAAAACAGGTTTGGTCCTGTACTTTTGCGTTCAATACATTTTCTATTTTTGAAGGGAAATGGAAAATCGAAAAAAGGCTATTTTGCATTTTCAGGCACACAGATTGCAAAAATTACCATTTTGTTTTTTTTATTGCTTATAATACATATATATATATATTATGATAACCAGATTTGGGAACTAGAAAATGCAATAATTAACCTCTTTGTATTTGTGCATTTCGGCGTCAATCGATTACCCGGAAGTGAATCGATTGCCTAATACGCAAATGACCTCCTGTATTTGTCCAAACACAGACGTCCTGTGATAATACTTATCCCGTGAGAATCTGCATGTCAGTGATTGTGATCGCTATGGCCGCTTTCTCTTTACTTTCTGCGTTGTTTTTGTCAATGATCAGAGGAGTCGCGTCGCGGCTGTGTGCACAGCTGCGTAGTAGCGGCTGCTGCTGTCTCTGTGAGGTCTGTGGAGAAGAGCACAGTGTAATGTGTTCTCTGACACTAAATGATCAGACTGATGGGTTGTGTTTGTACGTTTACTTTGCACTCCATGGTAATACAGAACAGACGTGTTGAATATATACAGTCTATTGTTGATGTAGCCGTTACCATTTGTCGGCTCGCACGTATCTTAGCAGAGTATGTGGTTCACGAGTAGTCCATACAAACTATTATTAAACATTACAGACAGTATGGGCCAGAGAACTGTAGAGCAGTTTGTCCTCATGTTTGTCCTCTCTGCGGTTGCTGTAATCAGACGCGACTCTCTGGACTGTGTGAAGTGGAGAGACCCGCGCTCGTGCGGTCGTTATGTGAGGTGTCAGTGAAAACAGTATTTTAAGCCTAGCGTACATCGACAGAGAAACTGGAGACAACTAGTTGCAAGGCGGCTTTTGGCAACTGAGAGGAGATGGTGGGAGATGATCAGTTGCCCAAATCGGTCGATGTGCGCGCTCTTACAACTGGAGATGATCAGTCGGTCTCCAGTTTCAGTCAGTTGCCCGCGTTCTACTTTTCGGCAACTAGTTGTCCTCAGTTTCGGAGATATGACCCGATGTGCGCGCTCCATGCGCCGCTCCGACAACGTGTGTGTATTGCGTGTATTGCGAGCCCGCAACAGTTTATGTCAGAAAACACACTGTAGTTGAGGCCAGTTGCTGTCGATGTACGCGCTGTTATTCCCGAGACTGGTCTGTCACTGGGAGTTGCCCGTTCTCGTCAGATTGTCGATGTGTGCGGGGCAGCAACTCATATGCGACGGATATAATCAGTTGCCAGTCCGATGTACGCTAGGCTTTACAGATATTGCTTATCTTGTGAATGCACTGCAAAATCTCCTCCACAATTATCACAAATAATCAGGGGTCCACAGGTAATTCTAATCCCGTGCGAGTAAACAAACTTGTTTCACTTCCGGGTAATCGTTTGACGCCGAAATGTATAAAATACATAATAAAAAATGTCAATTATTGCATTTTCTAGTTCCCAAATCCGGTTATTCTAATATATATATATGTCTTATAAGCAATGAAAAAAACCAAAATGGTCATTTTTGTATATTGCTGTGTGCCTGAAAATGCAAAATAGCCTTTTTTCGATTTTCCATTTCCCTTCAAAAATAGAAAATGTATTGAACACAAAAGTACACGGACCAGGTTTGAACAGGTTTTTGGGCGCACTATAAAATTATGCATTTATTTTCATACATAAGAGGTGCCCAGATTTTAAGGCACATTCATTTATGCTGGTTTACCCAAAACAAATATATTTTTTACCTCCATGTCATCGGGTAAAACATGACTCAATTTATTTACCAGTATAAACAACTAAACAAGTTTCTGTTGTAACATTTAAAAAAAACAACTTGGTTATGCAAATGAAAGAATTATGAAATAGAATACAATACTGCTCTGCTCTGCAGCTGCGATGCTATTAGCATCATAGCTATTACCATGCTCAACTGCGACACAGATAGTGTAACTTAAAATTCGTTTCGTAAGCATGTCTCTCCATAGAGGCCATTTTAAGGTCTATTTGGCCTTTGGACTAACAGTAGCGTTAGCCGAATGTAATAATAATACTCCATGAGGCGCCAAAATAATGTGTTTGTAGCTTTAGCTGGGAACCGTCGGTGCGCCGGTTGTGTCACCCGGACTATTTAAGTGGACGCACTTGAACTTCCGTGTTTATTTTTTACACACAAGAGTGAATAAAAGTGGTTTTGGTGAGAGTACAACTAAGTGCATGAGCACAAACGAAGACTGTAAGACCCTAAACTTTGTATTGAAGTGTATGGCTCGATCAGACGCATGCTTCTCGTATTTGCGCTTGATTCATTCACGTCCGGCTTCCGTTCCGGTCGGACTTATTTTTTGGCATTAAAACTGTTAACAGACCGAGCTATATACAGTCAGAAATTCATACATAGGACGCACTGGACTATAAGGCGCACTGTTAAAATCAAAGACTTTTGTACACGCCTAATGGTGCGAAAAACACGGTACTTCTTGAGATGCTGCTTCAATATATCCACTCAATATCCTCATCCCTCAATGTAAGTCTACATAATGTAAAACAGCGTTCTCAAGACTGAGCAATTGAGCCAATATAAACATGATTGCTCCAAAAGTAGTGGTGTAGTAGTAATCTTTTTGTGGTCCGGGCTACTTCAGTTTGTGTGCAAAGTTAATAGAATTGTCCATTATCCAAAGAAAGTAACGATAAATAGTAAATCAGTAGGATGTGACTCTGTGCTGCTCACCTGTCCTGAGTGGTCGGCCCGGTACTCAGCCCAGGACCTGAAGAAGTCCCCTCGGTCGTCTGTGGTGGAGGCTCTGAGGACCACCTCCTGCTGTGGTTTTAAGCCACTCACAGTGACCTGCACAGGCTGGTCAAACAGGCAGCGAGGGGGCAGCAGGCTCAGCTCCACGGGCATCTTCAAGCAGTCTGAGGGAAATGTGCTTTTCACACAACATTTCATCATATAGTTTCACACTTTAAAGCCGATTTGATTTCTGTTTATTTGGATTGAACAATGTGTAACCAATGTCCACACATGGAACAACTCAGCACCTTTATTAGGTCATCTACTGTATGTAACATCTAGATTCAGTTGCCCTAAATACAGGTTGGCCAGACATTTTTGCTTTTTCTAATTGGCCAAATTGTGGATTTCTTTGAACACCGGGGTGTATGTGCCTTTTCCTACACTGCCACAAAGAATGGAATGGGCTTCCAGACAATCTAAAGAACAGGGTTAGGCTTTGAAGAACTGGCTCTTGCGACAGCAGTCCTGCACGCACTCACAGAAGCAGGCGGGTATTTGACCATCAGATGGTACCCTTGGGTGCCATTTGATTTAGGGGCAACAGTGGCTCAGTTGGTAGAGCCTTTGGGCCTGAAAGTTGTGGGTTTGAGCCCACCAAAAGACCTACTTCATGATGTGGGATGCTGTTGTTGGGTCCTTGGGCAAGACACTTAACCCCACCCTGCCTGTACCCCCCTCTGAAAGATCAAGACTCCTGTGGACTCACCACCTGCAGGAGGATCAGTGAGGGGCTGGTGCTAAGTGGACTGGGAGCAGCTCTGACTGCCACCGGGGGGGGGGGGGATTGTTTTGAATCCGTGTACCCTTCAATCATTAGTTATTCCGTTTCAAAATAAAATCAGAAAATGGAAAAATTTAATTTCCATTGGTTTATTGTTCTTTTCCTTTTTTAAACTTGAATAAAAAAATAAATCCTTTATGCTTCAATATCAATGTGTTTGTTTTGGCTCTAGTTTTTTAAAATTCTCAAAAGAATTATGGCATTACTATTATTTCGTTTTATTATTATTTGCGACACCGGAAGAGAGAAGAGACCTCGCGGAAGGAAGCTCCGCGTTCGGGGCTCCTCAAAGCCGAGCCAGGGGGGCTACAGACGCGGGTGTGGGACCCAGGGACTCCCCTGGTCCCGGGCTACCCGCGGTGTGAATTTGACGCGCGGGGGACAAAGGACCAGAAAGTTATGGCCCTTGGAAACCACCGGGGTGACCGCGCGCCTGCCATCCGCCCAAGAGCGCTCATTCTGGGGGAGGAGAGGACCGCAGCAGCAGGGTCAGGAGGCACGCTGCTCCATACCCCCGTGCTTACGGCCATACCACCTTGAAAATGCCCGATCTCATTTGATCTCGGAAGCTAGGCAAGGTCAGGCCTGGTTAGTACTTGGATGGGAGACCGCCTGGGAATGGCTCATGACCCCCCCAGGTACCTATCCTGGGATCGCTCAACCTTTGGATCAGCTTGATCTTAGTTATGTCTCGAGGTTTGTGGTTCGAGCCCAGGTCTTGCCATTTTTTGATTTATGTAGAATGTACCATTTATTGCTGTTAGTAGCGTCCAGTTGTTTGTGGTTCGAGCCCACATCCACCCGTTTTTATATTAATGTAGATTTGACCATTTATTGCTCTTAGTTGCATCCAGAGGTTTGTGGTTCAAGCCCAGGTCTTGGCATTTTTTCATTTATGTAGATTTTACCATTTATTGCTCCTCGAGGTTTGTGGTTCGAGCCCACGTCCACCCGTTGTTATATTTATGTAGATTTTACCATTTATTGCTGATTATCTTGATCATTTAGTTTACATTTGTGTTTGGCAATCAAATAGACTTTAATACTTTCTCATGAATCATGGCATGAATTGTTCAAAGCACCCCCTGCAGAGTTCTTGCCTTGTGGAGCACGTTCATGTCACACTCCGTACTGCTGTAGAATAACACATTCATCTAAACAGACTTCAGCTTTATCTGCTTTGTCTGTGTATGTATTGTATGTGAACAGATGTGTAGTATTCTTTTTTTGTATTTTATACTGTAAATGTACATATTCACAAATATGTATATTTAATAGTTACTTAATGTAACTTAAGTTCTACGAATAGGTGCGTAGTCCCTTAGGACTTCGCTAGTGGGATATCACTCGTGACCCCCAGGTCACACGCCAGAGAGATCAAAATAATATGCTCCAATCACCAGCCACCTTCCTCTATAAATGCCCCTGCACAAGGCCGCACCCCCTCTTGAACTCTGCCAAGCCGGGCTGGCCTGATGGGCTCGTAGCTAAGGGACTACGCACCTATTCGTAGAACTTAAGTTACATTAAGTAACTATTAATTCTACGTCATGGTGCTACGTCCCTTAGGACTTCGCTAGTGGGACACAACGCGGAGGCCGTAGGAAAATGTACTCCCAACAGGCCAGCGAAGGGTGATTGGAGCTCCGCCCGAGCAAGACCCTCACAACGTGAGAGGACTCAGGGCAGAAGAAACAAGCGTGTTACGGGGCCACTCCTACCAAGGATACCCCCACGTAACACAGATATAGGTCATCCGTAGTCACAGGACGCCTCTCCCAAGGGCTCCTGACGTGGACTACCAGACCGACCAAAACACACAAATATGTACCGCACCTGTAGGATGCCTCTCCCAAGAGCTCCTGAATCAGGGCGGAAAGTAAACCGAAGGCCCCCTCAGAGGAGGGACCTAACGGTCTAACTCAGTCCGCTGCACTCAGCACGGAATGGGCCACCGCCCGGTCCGACACATCCAAGATAAGACCGGACGAAAGAGGAGGACGAAGCCCAAGAAACCGCACGGCAGACGTCCTCGACCGACGTCCTCGACCGACACCCCCCTGAGAAGGGCCGTAGAGGCCGCCATCCCACGCGTGGAAAGCGACCTGAAGCCCACCGGGAGGGCCAGACCCTGCGTCTGATACGCCCGCCGCACAGCCGTGGCAACCCAGTGCGCCAGCCGCTGAGCCGACAGCGGGGCGCCCCTGTTCTTGGGGCCCAGACACACAACAGCTGGCCACCCAACCTGAATGACGACGTCATGGCCAGGTAATGCCTCAGCATTCTGACAGGACACAGAAGGTGCCGCCGCTCCTCCTCGGGGGAGGCATGCGGTGGCGGATAGAAAGCCCTAATCCTGATGACTCTCGACCTAAAGGCCGACGTGATGACCTTGGGGAGAAAGCCGGATTGGGCCACAATACCACCATGCCGTCGCCCTCTCCAAGGACAGGCAAGACGCATGGACAGAGAGCGCACACAAGTCGCCCTCCCTCTTAGCAGACGCCAACGCCAACGCCAACAAGAGGGCCGTCTTAAGCGACACACCCGGGACTCGCCTCCGCCGCCGGTTCAAAAGGCGGACCCGACAGCCCCCTAAGGACCACCCTGAGGTCCCAAACCGGGGCGTTCTCTGGAGCGGGGGCCTCCTCCTGCGTGCCCCCCGCAGAAAACGTTTAACCAACGGATGAGAGCGGGCTGTGAACCCCCCGAATCCGTTGTGACCCGAAGTAATGGCTGCCGCGAACACCGCCAAGGTGGCGACAGCCCTCCCCTTGTCAAAGAGCTCCTGTAGGAATCCCAGGACCCCCTCCAGCGGGCAACGCCTGGGATCCCAGGAACGAAAACCCGCACCAGTCGCTAAAGAGCCTCCACCTCGTGGCGTAGGCCCTCACAGTGGACGGCGCCCTCGCCCCCTGAGTGGTCTCCACCACCACAGAGGGAAGACCCAGGTCTACGAGGTTCCGCCTCTCAGCCTCCAACCCAGAGCCTGCGGCCGATTATCGGGCGTGAAAACAGGGCTCCTCCCCCCCTGGACTAGAGCCCCCGGCTCGTCCGGGAGGGCCCAGGGCTCCATCACCGCCATGCCCCTCAGGAAGGGGAACCACCGAGCATGCGGACTGTCCGGCGCCACCAGGATCACTGACCTCCTCTCCTGTTCGATCCTCTGCAGCAGGACCGGCAGGAGACGCACTGGTGGGGAACGCGTACAGCAGGCCCCCTGGCCAGGGGTAATGAGCCAGAGCGTCCAAGTCTAAAGGCGGCTGGTCCGCGGCCCTTGAGGCGAACCAGGACGGGCACTGTGCGTTTCCTGCACTGGCGAAAAAGGTCGACCACTGGACGGCCGAACCTCCGCCAGATCTCCGCAGCCACCCCTGGGGCCAGGCCCCACTCGTCCTGGAGTGGGCCCCCCCCCCCTGGACATCCTGTCGGCCCCCACGTTCCGGACCCCCGGGACGTGGCGCGCCCTGAGAGACAGGAGGTGAAGCGCCGCCCACAGCAGCGTCACCGTCGGAGAGCGGGGGACCTGGTGCCCCCCTGCCTGTTCAGATAGGAGACCACTGTGGTGTTGTCTGAGCGCACCATCACGTGTCTCCCCTGCAGCTGAGGAGCAAAGTGCAGCAGTACCCTGTGCACTGCCTCCATCTCCAGCAGGTTGATGTGACGGGCTGAGTCCGACCAGCAGCCTCCTACAGATCTCTGGCCGAGGACCCCGCCCCATCCTTCGAGCGACGCGTCCGTGAACATCTCCACGTGAGACACGGCGCCGGCCAGAGTCACTCCGTCCCGTAGAAGACCCGGAGTGAGCCAGAACCTGATGTTCGATGCTGCCACTTGGGGAACCCAGATCAGCCTCCCCCCGTCCCGGGAGGGGTGAAGCCTGAGGCGTGAGAACCACCTCTGAAAATTCCTCATGTGGAGAAGGCCTAGCCGCACCACAGCATGAGCCGCCGCCATCATTCCCAGCAGGGACCTGAGGCGCCGAGCGGGGACTCTGGGGCCCGCCAGAACCTCCCCGGGCAGACGGGTAGTGTTCATCCGTCTGTCCACGGACCATGCAGCACGGAATGTCACAGAGTCTAGCTGCAGACCGAGATAGATCATGCGCTGAGCCGGTTGCAGCCTGCTTCTACGTCATGGTGCTACGTCCCCTAGCGGGCTTCGCTAGTGGGATATCACGTGCACCTATTCGTAGAACTTAAGTTACAAAGGTAACTGTTAATTTTCTCCCTGTTAACCACAGAGCCCAGGCGCTGTAAGTGGGACAGGACCCAGTGCGTATGACTCACGGCCACTTCCCTGGATGAGGCCAGAATTAACCCGACGT